TGGTGTGGGTGGATGAATATACCTATGGTGTTGTTTTGCTTATATGTTGTTTTTATTTCATTTATGTATTTTATTTTAATATTATGATTATGCCTCTTTGCTATATATGTACAGCGCGGTGAGCCCAGCCCTAGGCCGGGGTACCGCGCTATATAAGACCACTTATTATTATTATTATTATTATTATGTGTGCTTCCGTTGCTAAATAAATTAATCCTCTTCAATCCAACATCACTCGTAGATAAATATTCTCCCTTCTTCATAATATTCTATTGTCACGATTTCATTTTTGTCAACAATATTTTATTTTAACTTGTCAGTGAATTTTAATAGAACAGTGTTTCTTAAAAAATAAGTTTTTATAAATTCTTTTGTTCCAAATATCATATCTCATAATGAGTTTAATTATATATTTTTGTAATGCAACTGGTTATACCATATATTCCATCACGGACGACATAGTATTATTATATGAAAATGTGTATTTGGAACATCTCTATGTTTCAGATGTGTTCATATCTTTTGTTTCTGAAACCTCGAAAAATTGTTGTTCAACGTATACAATGAACTATTCTTAAAGACATAATATAATGAGAATGATTTTCTTATTCAATATTTTATTTAATATTTTAAAAATATGTTCTATTCAATAACAGCTCTATCATAATAATCCAATTATCTACAGGTATTTAATAATGTAAAAAGTGATCTCTTTGCAGATTTATTTATTTGTCGTGGCTTTTGGGAAATTGCCATTAAAGGGCATTCTTCAGCACGCATGCACTGTCATTGATTTTTACTTAAGTTTACATGCTTATGTAGCACGAAGCCAGTTTTACAACTGTGAACTTATATTGAAGTAGTCAATTGTTAATGTAATATTCCAGCTATTACATTTGTTGCCATGGGAACCAGCATGCCAGATACGTTTGCTTCCAAAAGTGCCGCCATTAATGAGAAGTGGGCGGACTCGTCAATTGGTAACATCAACGGCAGCAACAGCGTCAACGTGTTCCTGGGTCTGGGGCTACCTTGGTTGTTAGCATGTGTCTATTGGAAGACTAAGGTAAGATTTGGTGTCTTGTCTATTGGAAGGCTAAGGTAAGAATGGGTGTCTTGTCTATTGGAAGACTAAGGTAAGAATTGGTGTCTTGTTTATTGGAAGGCTAAGGTAAGAATTTGTGTCTTGTCTATTGGAATGCTAAGGTAAGAATTTGTGTCTTGTTTATTGGAAGGCTAAGGTAAGAATTGGTGTCTTGTCTATTGGAAGACTAAGGTAAGAATTGGTGTCTTGTCTATTGGAAGACTAAGGTAAGAATTTGTGTCTTGTTTATTGGAAGGCTAAGGTAAGAATTGGTGTCTTGTCTATTGGAAGACTAAGGTAAGAATTGATATCTTTGTGTGTGTCTATAGTAATAATAAAGTAAGAATAATGTCTTTGTCTAGTGGAAGGTTTAGTTAAGAATTAGTGTCTTTGTGCAGGTCTTATGGATAATTGGGGTAGAATTTGATGTCTTTGTTTATTGGGTATTTTAGGTAGAAATTAATGTCTTTGTCTATTGAAGGACTAAGGTAGAATTTAAAGTTTTTGTCCATTGGACGACTAAGGTAGACACTTTTGTCTTTGAAGGAGAACGGTAAAAATGGGTGTCTTTGTTTCTGTCTATTGTTGGACTAAGTTAGAATTAGATGTATTTGTTTATTGAAGGACTAAGTTAGGAATTAGTTTCTGAGTTTGTCTATGGAAGGAATAAGCTGGTATTTTGTTTCTTCCTGGTGTACCTACTATAATGTTATCATGGTTTCGTTTGTTTCTTAACAGTATTCTATTCTGCTATGGGGTAACATTGTTTAAACATTTCTTATATAAGGAATAAGAGAGGTATTCTTGTTTATTGTGCAAAAGAGATTTTCTTATGTAATGAAGCGTCAATCTATATATATAAAAATGAATGTTTGTATGTCTGTCTGTCTGTATGTCTCGTGTGCGCTCCTACACCATTTATGCGATTCATATAAAACTTTAGGGAAATGTTGTGAGCATGTCTATAAACATTTCTAAATTATTACAATCGTTTTAAATTATTCAGTTTTGAGCCAGGGGCCTCACATTCGTTTTTCCTTACATGAGCTATATAAATATATTTTCAAACCGTATGCGCTCCTACACCAATCATGCGATTACTAGAAAACTTAGTGAGTTGTTGTCCATACGCCAGTGCATTTTACTGTATTATTTAAACACTTTTAAAAACATTCTTTTTTCGGCCGTTGGCCCTTAATTCGTATTTTTTGTAATATGCGCTTTGTAAAAAATAATTTTCATATGCGCTCCTACGCCATTTATCCGATTCCGATAAAACTTTGGTGAGATGTTGCAAACATGTCCATAAAGGTTTTTAAATTGCTACAATTGTTTTAAAATATTCATTTTTGAGCCAGGGGCCTCATATTCGTTTTTCCTTACATGAGCTATTTAAATATATTTTCAAACCGTATGCGCTCCTACACCAATCATGCGATTGCTACAAAACTTAGTGAGTTGTTGTCCATGCGCAAATGCATTTTACTGTGTTATTTAAACACTTTTAAAAATATTCCGTTTTCGGCCGTTGGCATTGCGTATTTTTTGTAAAAAATAATTTTCATATGCGCTCCTACGCCATTAATCTGATTGCAATAAAACTTGAAACTTTGGTGAGATGTTGGAAGCATGGCCGCAAAGGTTTTTAAATTATTATAAACTTTTCAAAATATTCCAATTTTAGCCAGCTGCCTTATTTACGTTTTTTTCTTATACGAGCTATATAAATATAATTTCAAACCGTATGCGCTCCTGCACCATTCACGCGATTGCGACAAAACTTTGACGAGTTGTTATCTATAAACATAACCATTCATTACAACACTTTTAAAATATTCCGTTTTGGGCCGTTGACCCAAATTCTTATTTTTTCTTATATGCGCTTTGTAAAAAATAATTTTCTATGCGCTCCTATACCATTTTTCAGAATGCGATAAAAATTTAGTGAGATGTTGTTCTATCGCCCACAAAGGTTCTTAAATTACTACAACCGTTTTAAAATATTCAGTGTTGAGCCAGGGGCCCTATGTTTGTTTCTTACAAAATGAGCTATATAAATATAATTTCAAACCGCATGCGCTCCTACATCATTCAAGCGCTTGCGATAAAACTGAGGTGAGTTGTTGTCCATAAGCCAGAGCATTTTTCTAAGCCATTATAACTCTACTAAAATATTCCGTTTTTTTGGCAATCGCCCCAAATTCGTGTTTTTTTCCTTACATTAGGAGCTTTATAAAAAATAATTTCCGTATGCGCTCCTCTACATTATTACAATGCGATAAAATTTTAGAGAGATGTTGTGCGCGCGCCCGCCCGCAAAGGTTTCTTAAATGATTACAACCATTTTAAAATACTCCGTTTTTAGCCAGGGGTCCTATGTTCGTTTTTTCTATATAAGCTATACAACTATAATTTTAAGCTATACAACTATAATTTCAAACAGAGCTAAAGCATGAATGGATAGCTTTTTAATCAAATACAAATAGTGATATTAAATTGAGTGTGTGACATATTAAGTAGGTTTCTGAAGTAATACAACAATTCTACAATATTCCATTTGTGGAGGGGGGGTCCTAAATTCGTTTTCCACACTTCTATTATCTATATAATTATAGTATGCATTTCTATACCATTCATTCGATTGTGATCAAACTGGGTCAAGTGAAATGCGCACTACCGAAAATGTTTCTAAATTAGAAAAAAACATTTTACAATATTCCGTTTGGGCCAGTGACCCTAATTTCATATTTTCTTCTAAGAGCTTTGTAACTATAATTTCAAACAGAGCTATTGCATGTGTGGAAGTAGCTGAATCCGCCGGCAAATTTTTCAAATTTAGTACATCCATTGTACAATATTCCAATTAGGGCTGGGGACCCTAAATTCAATTTATTTTCTTAAATGAGCTTCATCAATATAATTTATAACGAAGATATCAACACTACCGCCCTTGAACAAATGACACATTTGTAGTAAAGCAGAGAAAACACGTTTTTACATTTTTAGTGTAGAGAGTATTTTTGTTATGTGTATAAATAAGCTTGAATTTTGTGACGCATTTTAGAATCGGAAATGACATCGAAATCGCGTTTTTTTTTTCAACTAAGAGTATTTCTTGAATAGAGTCTTATAATTTCGGAGTTGTTTTGTGTTATGTAAATACATTTTACACCAATCGATGGTTTCTCAAGTAATCTGCAAACAAACTTTTCGCTCTTGATTTGCAACGAGAAACGCACTTTGATATCGAAGCGTTAGGTACAATACATTTTTCAAATGAATCTTCCGAAATTGGTTCCATTGAAGATACTATTTTAAATGGAAAATTTAAACTAGGTGATGTACTTTTGCCATTCACCCCAATGATTCCAACAGATATGCCATTTGAATTCAAACGCCTACAGCTTCCGATGCGACACGCGTCTACAATGACTATCTTCAAAGCACAGGGACAATCGCTACAAGTTTGCGGACTAAATTTGGAAAACCCATGCTTCGCCCATGGACAGATGTATGTGGCCTGCTCTCGCGTCGGGAAATCTTCTGATTTATTCGTGTATATACCAGATGGAAAAACAAGAAAAACTTTGAGTATTTAAAAGCTCTTGAAGAAACATAACATGCAAACACTTTCTTTACTTGAGTGGCATTGCAACGCATGCCGGGTACTCGCTAGTTTTTCTATCAATACTTTGATGCCATGCGTTTATTCATATAAACAATGTATATTGGCTTTGCTGGATGTCTTTTTTAGAACGTTATTTCTGAATTTAAATTCTGACCTTGCTGCAGTGGGTGATCTAAAGTTATTTAATTTGTAGTTTGGAGAAAAAGGTTCAATATATTCGTGTTTTTCTTGAACTTTGAGTATTAACTTTGACAGTTTTGCCTCTATATGTCTCTATAAACGTGTTAAATGACATATCTTGTATTTGACCAGGGTCAAGAATTCCACCATCCGACGGGAACTTTGGGCCTGAGTGTCACCATCTTCACTGTCTGCGCCATCTTACTTATAATAATGCTTGTTGCCCGGCGACAGTTTCCTATATTTGGCAAGGCTGAACTGGGGGGACCCAAGACCTTCAAGCACCTGACGGGGATGATAGCGCTGGTCATGTGGGTGCTCTACGTCATAGTATCGTCATTACAGGCACAAGGATATATAGAAGCCTTCTGAAGATGGTCAACAGTTCTATACAAACTTTTCCGTGAAGATTTTATTTGTAAATAAGTTTGAAATGGAAATTCTTACTTTTATTCTAGTGCTTTCATAAATGTCCATTTTTAGTTTACGATTTGAATGTAACAGAACTTTATTTATTGAATATTGAAGATACATAAAAAAAATATTATGTCTACTTTCCAAACCAAAGTTTAAATTGTTTAAAGTGCTTTTAGATTTGATATCAATGTTTTCCCTAATATTTTTTTAAAAAGCATTTAACCCTCAAAGAGAGCCAAAGTTTGACATAAGGGGAATCAGTATTTACCTCACAATCTCTACTACATATTTTATTGATTCATTTGGTTCAAACAACCAATCACAAGAGACGTGTTTGCTCATAGACTTTGGGAAATATCTTTAAATTGATTTTTACATTTTTGCGTAAATTCCTTGCTTTATATTATATACAAATAAATATAAATATAAAACATATTTATTATTACAATGCAAATATAACAGCATTTCGTTTCGATAACTTATTTATTGAACTCATGAGATCATGAGAAAATACTGTACAGTGCACACATTTAAGCTATTTCAGCTTTGTAACCTTGTAACCTCCATCCAGATTGCCGCTTGGGTATTAACAAAAACTGAAAGATAAGATGGTTTAAAAATCTATATCCAGCCATTAACGTCAACTAATTTTGTATTCGTTTGTAGATCAATATTGTTAAATAAAACTTCTAGTTCATTATTTGTTCCACTGCAACACAATTAAATAATTGCTTTCGTAATACATATTATATGCTGCTTTGAATTAAGTGGATCTAAACGGAGACAGGCGATTGCTGTCTAGATAACCAGCTTATTGAAACAGGCGAATACTGTCTAAATACCCAGCTTATTGAAACAGGCGAATGCTGTCTAGATAACAAGCTTATTGAAACAGGTGAATGCTGTCTAGATAACCAGCTTATTGAAACAGGCGAATGTTGTCTAGATAACCAGCTTATTGAAACAGGCGATTGCTGTCTAGATAACCAGATTATTGAAACAGGCGAATGCTGTCTAGATAACCAGTTTAACGGACTATGTTGTCACAAGAAAACAGAGAGGTAGCGTGAGTGAACAGTGAATTGTGTTGACCATGTTTTTCCACGAGAGAGAGAGTGAATTGTATTTTGAGAGGACAATGTGAGCTCCACGTTTTTGGAGAGCAAAATTATGTTTTTGTCAGATCGGTTGTTTTCCACGCTTTGCTGGTAATAAAGTATGAGTTGACTGATATAGAGAGGACTGAGCGCAGAGTGGAGAAGAGTAGAGTTAGAGCTGAGTTACGAGAACAGTTGAGCTGAGTTATAGCAGTGTGAGGACGTGTCTTTCTGAAGGATGGAATACTATATATATATATGTGAAATTACATTCATGCAAGGATTATTATTAATATTATCAGTATAAAGTGTGTTCAATAAAGTACTGTAAGTTTTAACCAGAATTGAGTATTCTTCTTTACGTGTCTGGATAATAAGTGGAAGAATGAAGAAGTCTTAGTCGGCATCCTGAAGTATTAACATAAGTAACCATACTACTGACATAACCCACAGCATAAGAAATAAGATCCCACGCCATGTCAGAGTAGATGTGTTACAAATGGTGTCAGAAGTGCCGAACAACTATGGGATACAACTATATGTGTTACAAATGTAAGAACAACGATGTATTACAGAACATTGAGTAACAACGATATATTTTAACATTCGAGCGGAAGCATACATCGAATGTCATTACGCCCGTGTATCATATCAAGTCTGAGACGAGTCCACGACACACAGAGCAAGCTGACAACGATTGAATTTAGGTAAGTCACGGGAGTCAAAAGTTCAGAGTTCAAACAGCTAACTGGTACACTGCTTCAATTAGCGGAGTGAATATTCTCGTAGAAGAAACTGCAAGAAATCTATTTTACAGTTATTAGTCAACGAAAGAGATGATCCACTACACAAGACCAACAGAAGTCTGACGTCATTACAGATATGTTTTATCAAGACATCGAAAGTAAGATTTCCCCAGCATAATCTTTACTTTATATAAGCCGCACATAGCCTAGTGCACAATTCAAGTCAATTAATTCTTTAATTACTCACAAGTTCAACTGAATCGGAGAGAAAGTACACCATTTTCAATTGGATTATTACACTATTACTTATATTACGCATCTACTTGCATTGGATTATTGAAGCAGTTTGTAACTTTCTCATTGGATTATTTACACAAGTACACTACTACATAGAAGGATTATCTAATACATAGAAGGATTATCTACTACATAGAAGGATTATCTACTACATAGGATCATGGACTACACAGAAATCATAGCGTCACAGGAGCAGAGGTGACCAACTACAGATTTCTTTTGGACACTTACATTTGGTATTTATTTATATTATGTGTTATGTATTATATATAATTTAAGACTTTAAAAATCTACTTATATAATACTTAATTAGATTAAGTAATTTTTTACTTTTTCTGTATATTATAAGTTTAATTTTAGAGTATACTTTAGGGATATCCACGGTGTTATCTTTCCTAGGGAAGTTTTTTTATTAAAACAGTAAAGGTTTCTTCTGGCCCTATTTATAACACTGTAGGATAATTCTATGTTAGTTGTGAAGTCTAGTTTGTACATTGTCATAACTGTTGTTTTTTTAGTAGATCTTGTCAGATTTGTTCTATTTGTCTTGTCATTACTATCTTGTTGTCCATAAACTGCACAGTACTTTTGTATTTGTTGTCTCATTTGTATTCATGTAAACGTCTACATATCTGTATTTATGTTGTGAAGTAGACAATTTAATTATTTTAAAATTTTTTCTTACATTTAATTATTAACTTGCATTTTTGTATACATTCATTAACATGTAAATATATAATGTAATATTTTTAACTATTTTAATTGATAACTCAATAAGAATTAACTGACATACTTATACATACCAATATATTATTTTAGTTACTCAAACACATAATAATTCAAAATGGTAGAATACTTAGAACTATTAGAAGTAGCTGAGAAGCTTGGGATCAAGCAGGAGAAGGTAGCCGACTTTGTTACTAGGGAGATGGACAAAACTAGGGACAAACAGAAAGAGGACAAAGACCGAGAAGCTAGACTGTTAGAGAGAAGTGACCTTAAACAAATAGAAGAACTAAAATTAAAAGAACAAAAAGAAATAGAAGAACTAAAATTTAAAGGGAAAAAAGAAATAGAAGACATGAAACTAAAAGAACAGGATATGAAATTAAAAGAACAGGATATGAAATTAAAAGAACAGGATATGAAATTAAAAGAACAGGATATGAAATTAAAAGAACAGGATATGAAATTAAGAGAGGAAGAAATAAAACTAGAAAGAGCTAGAATAGAATCAGGACAGCATACACCATCAACAAGCAATAGAGAAACCAATAGCACATACAAACCTAAATTTAGGGAATTTAATGAACATAAAGAGGAAATTATTAGTTATTTGTCACAATTTGAGGGCATCTGTCAGTCTTACAATTATAGGGAAGAGACTTGGGCAAATATTTTATTGAGTAGATTATCAGGAAAAAGCCTAAGTATCATTAATTCACTTAGTGAAGAAAAAAAGAATAATTATACCTATATAAAGAAAGTTTTGTTAAAGTTTTATGGAAACACAGAAGACATTTACAGAAAAAAATTTCATAACATAAGACTCGAGAGAGAAGTAGACCCTATCACCACCATATTCAATATTAGAGATAATCTTGTCAAATGGCTTGAACTCACTGAAATTGACCTAAATGATCCCAAAGCATTACTAGATATGTTTATTATAGACAAAATATTAAGAAATGCATCAGTCTCTTTATTTTCATTCCTTAAAGAGAGAAAGATTAAAAATGAGCGTGAGTTAGTTGACTCACAAAAAACATTTACAGATGCTCACCCCAATGAAGAGCTAGATAAAAGAAAGTTATCTGTTATTGAAACAGGCGATTGCTGTCTAGATAACCAGCTTATTGAAAAAGGCTATTGCTGTCTAGAAAACCAGCTTATAGAAACAGGCGATTGCTGTCAAGATGTCCAGCTTATTGAAACAGGCGAATGCTGTCTAGATAACAAGCTTATTGAAACAGGCGAATGCTGTCTAGATAACCAGCTTATTGAAACAGGTGAATGTTGTCTAGATAACCAGCTTATTGAAACAGGCGAATGCTGTCTAGATAACCAGCTTATTGAAACAGGCGAATGTTGTCTAGATAACCAGCTTATTGAAACAGGCGAATGCTGTCTACATAACCAGCTTATTGAAACAGGCGATTGCTGTCTAGATAACCAGGTTATTGAAACAGACAATTGCTGTCTAGAAAACCAGCTTATGGAAACAGGCGATTGCTGTCTAGATAACCAGCTTATGGAAACAGGCGATTGCTGTCTAGATAACCAGCTTATGGAAACAGGCGAATGCTGTCTTGATAACCAGCTTTTTGAAACAGGCGAATGCTGTCTAGATAACCAGCTTATAGAAACAGGCGATTGCTGTCTAGATAACCAGCTTATGGAAACAGGCGATTGATGTCTTGATAACCAGCTTATTGAAATAGGCGATTGCTGTCTAGATAACCAGCTTATGGAAACAGGCGATTGCTGTCTAGATAACCAGCTTATTGAAACAGGCGATTGCTGGCTAGATAACCAGCTTATTGAAACAGGCAATTGCTGTCTAGATAACCAGCTTATTGAAACAGGCGAATCTGTCTCGATAACCAAACTTAGGGAAACCAGCAGTTCACATATACAGCATAATGCAGGCTCGACAGGATAGCGTAAAGCCCGCTTAACCAGGATGCTATACAGTAGGATACGAACCAAGTAGGATACAGGACCAGCAGCACACAGATTCAAGAGCATGCAGGCACGGCAGGATACAGGACCAGCAGCACACAGATACAGAGCATGAAGGCACGACAGTATATCG